ATACCATAGTGGCTTTATATCATAGTATATTTCCTTTATAATTCAGAAAATGGATAACGTGCCGCAAAAAAAATAAAAATAAAAAATAAAGAAGAAATCATACCAAATATTTGTATCGTTATTTGTATCATATCTTTATAAAAAAGGGACCCACACGTACACCAGATCTCACCGGAGAGAAAGCGCGGAGTCCACCCGCCTTGTAAGCTTCCAGTCGCCTCCTCTGTTCCCTTTTTAATATTTTTTTTTTCTTCAACTCTAATTTTTTAATTTTTTAGTTAAAATTTTATTTTATTTCTACGCGACAGACAAATACGAATCCAACTATTAAACGCCATTACACCACCAACCAATAAACTAACTCCTCCTCCTCCTTCGCCTCCTCCTCCTCCTCCTCCTCCTCCAGATCTGCACACCCTTCCTCTTCTCTCTCAATCGGAGGCCATGGCATCTCGTAGATCTCCGGCAGTCCTGGCGATCTCTGTGATCCTCTTACTTCTCGTCCATGGCGCCCACTCCTTCTACCTCCCCGGCGTCGCTCCGGAGGACTTCATCAAGGTCAGCTCCCAATCGCCGACAAATCTAATCTGTAATTTCATTTAATTTCGATTTTTTGTTGAAATTGTATGTGTTTTTGTATGAAATGAGTGATCTGCGTGTTCGCTGTTCGGATCTGTGACCTAGTGTTAGGTTTCGTCCGTTTGGTTGCCGAGAAAATGGAGGAAAATAGAAGGATTGGAGATAAAGTTATCGTGAATTTTTTTGGAGGTTAGGTTATCGTGAATTCGATTGGTCGCTACTCTGCTATTGAAATGATTGTCGATTTAGGTTTAGTTGACCTCTGGCATAGTTCAAATCTTGAGATTTGTAGGTTTTGATATGTGTTCTTTTGCTCTGTATATTTCTTCGATTTTCTTAGGATGTGTTTTATTAATACTTTGATGCGTAGAGCAATGTAATTGTGAGAGTAATTCGCGGCACATCAGATCTTGGTTGGTCCGATATCGATCTGTATATGCCCTAAGCAAGTACTCTAAGAAGATCGTCATTTAGGTTTCACTGCATTACAAATGTTGATTGTGGAATTTGAATTATTTCTCGTAAATTAGATTTGAAATTTCGTCATTGTTTTACTTCACTTGACTGAGAAGCAAAGTGCTTTTCCTCGGTGGATGTTTTGTATTAATTTCGTTCTCTTGGATCTTTGAATGCAGGGAGATGATTTGAAAGTTAAAGTGAACAAATTGACTTCTACAAAGACTCAGCTTCCATACTCATATTACTCTCTCCGTTACTGCAAACCTGATAAAATCTTGGACAGTACAGAGAATCTTGGGGAAGTGCTCCGCGGTGACCGGATCGAGAACTCCCCCTATGTGGTTTGTGTTATTTCACCTGTACAACGCTATGGCTATTTGTTTCTCCTATGTTCATAAACTTACAACAGGATTTGTGCAGTTTAAAATGCGGGAGCCTCAGATGTGCAACATTGTCTGCCGGTTAACGCCTGATGCCAAAATTGTAAAGCAGTTTAAGGAGAAGATAGATGATGAGTATCGAGTGAACATGTATTTTTCTGACACTTTAAATGATGTATTCTTTTATATTAGAGGAACTGAAACGAAGTCACATATCTTATTAAGACTTTCTTTTTCTATGACAGGATCCTTGATAATCTACCTCTAGTTTTTCCCATTCAAAGGCCAGACCAAGACGCTCCTACAGTTTATCAGCTTGGATTCCACGTTGGGCTCAAAGGCCATTATGCTGGGGTATGTCCATTATTTGTTGGCACCAAATAACTTTCTTATTCGGGGATGATTATGTTTTTCTCTTTCTTATGCTATGTTGTTGTGCTCAGAGCAAAGAAGAGAAATACTTCATCCACAACCATCTGGCATTTACTGTGAAGTACCATAGAGATTCGCAAACTGAAACAGCAAGAATCGTGGGATTTGAGGTTAAACCATTCAGGTCGGTTTTTCCAGGGGGTTGCTTTTCTCTTGAATGATTCCTCCTTGCTGAATCTTCTTTCTAAATTATCAGTTGGTAATATGGTTTGTTTGTGTGTTGAATGTCCAGTGTTAAACATGAATATGAAGGGAAATGGAATGATGCAAAGACTCGTTTAACTACCTGTGACCCCCATTCGAAACACACTGTTGTTAATTCTAACTCTCCTCAAGAGGTTGCCGAAAAGCAAGAAATCGTATTTACCTATGATGTTGAATTCCAGGTGAGCTCATTAATTTAAAATTTTACTTGGTATTTTCTCATAGGAGAATTATAACTCATAATTTACTGTCTACTGTTTGCTTATTATAGCATCATTTATTTGTCATAAATACTTTGTGATTTGTGAGGAACTAGTCGTCTCATAGGATACTTCTTTTCATGTCTACTTGTTTAGGAGAGTGATGTGAAGTGGGCTTCTAGATGGGATGCTTATCTACTGATGAGTGACGACCAAATCCATTGGTTTTCAATTGTCAACTCATTGATGATTGTCCTCTTCCTTTCGGGTATGGTAGCGATGATTATGCTAAGAACACTCTACCGTGATATCTCCAAGTATAATGAACTTGAGACCCAGGAAGAAGCGCAAGAAGAGACAGGATGGAAACTTGTCCACGGGGATGTTTTCCGGGCTCCAAATAACTCTGAATTGCTCTGCGTATATGTTGGAACTGGTGTTCAGTTCTTTGGAATGATACTGGTGACAATGATTTTTGCTGTCCTTGGCTTCCTCTCCCCATCTAACCGGGGCGGTCTTATGACTGCAATGCTCTTGCTTTTTGTCTTCATGGGAATTTTTGCTGGTTACGCCTCTGTTCGCTTGTACAAGATGTTTAAAGGTACAGAATGGAAGAAAATTGCATTCAGAACTGCTGTCATGTTCCCAGCAACTGTCTCTGCCATTTTCATTGTCTTGAACACTCTGATTTGGGGCCAGAAATCATCTGGAGCTGTGCCATTTGGCACAATGTTTGCCCTGGTCTTTTTATGGTTCGGAATCTCAGTCCCACTCGTATTTGTGGGAGGCTATGTTGGGTTCAGGAAGCCAGCACTTGAGGACCCAGTGAAGACAAACAAAATCCCAAGACAGATCCCAGAACAGGCCTGGTACATGAACCCAGTTTTCTCAATTCTGATTGGAGGGATCCTCCCATTCGGAGCAGTTTTCATCGAACTATTCTTCATCCTCACTTCAATTTGGCTGAACCAGTTCTACTACATCTTTGGTTTCCTCTTCTTGGTCTTCATCATCCTCATCATCACATGCGCTGAGATCACCATCGTCCTCTGCTACTTCCAGTTGTGCAGCGAGGATTACTTGTGGTGGTGGAGATCATACCTCACATCTGGCTCATCGGCTCTGTACCTCTTCCTCTACGCCACATTCTACTTCTTCACAAAGCTTGAAATCACAAAGCTGGTCTCGGCCCTCTTATACTTCGGATACATGCTCATTGCATCGTATGCATTCTTTGTTGTCACCGGAACCATCGGCTTCTACGCCTGCTTTTGGTTCACGAGGCTCATCTACTCGTCGGTGAAGATCGACTAAACTCAAGATCGGGTCTCGGCAAGGTGTGATCTCCTCTCTCCCCCCCTCCGGAAGATGCGAACAGATGATAATCTCTCTAAAGTAGTGTAAGATTTTGCAGTTAACTTTGGATTATTGTGCTTTCGAAATGTATCTTATTTGTGCTCATTTTTGAACCATGACAAAAGCCGACAACGTTATATTTACTGTTAGAGTATATTTCTATTTGTTTATTTTTCAAGGCTACTTCTACAGTGCCAATTGTTAGGAACCTTCTTGTTACTTGTCTCTTTTAGTATCTGTTTTCTTCTGATTTTCATGGTTTTAATTTCCACGAGACGACCAATAAAATGTATCCGGATCCTCTGCGGAGAGACCGGAGTGCTTGATTTGTGTGAGGTGAGGCCCTCGTCTGGTCCCACTAGGAGAGACCGGAGCGCTTGATTTGTGTGAGGTGAGGCGCTCGTCTGATCCCACTAGGGAGGAAGTTTTGACTCTCTGGGGTGCTGGCGATCTTATCCTAGAAAGATAGTCTTGACGTGGCAGTATACGCTTGGCTCCATAGCGGAGCTAGTCATTTGCTACTGGTTTCTTTCCTATCGGACCAGAGGCGGCCCAGAGAAAGAGTTTATGAAGACGGCATATTTAATTTGAGTGGTTCGAATTATCTGATTTTTAAGCTCCCCACAGTGATATCTGGAGAAGGTCTCTGTCCATCTCCCAAACAATGGGGCCTATGACGGGAGAGCAAGTTATAAAACAAGCGATGACAGACCCAAAGAATCTGTCGACGCACCCAAAGAATCTGTCGTCGGTTGGGGATATCATATCATGGTTGGCCCCGGCGGTTATATGATAACGACGCTGCAACTCACGTTTATATTTTGTAATAATGTGGTGTGGCATTTATAAAATTGGATAGGATTTTTTTTTTTTGAAAAGCCGATAGTATTTATATTAAGGGGTTGGAGAGTGAATTAAATCTTACAATGAGCTTATCATAATAATATGGTTCAACTTCACCTTTGATGAAAATCGAATATAACACCTCTTACTTATAAGTAAAGAATAATATCACTACATCATCATACTAAACGGTGACTTCCTTCTAAAATTGAAATGAATAGAAAATCGCCCTATTTGGTAAAAACACCATTCATTGTGCATTTCGGACTAATTATTATTCACCCTAGGTCAACGAGATTAAGTGTTAGAACTCATTGCAGATTTCAGACTTTTTATTTTATTTTTATTTTCAACTAAACTTAAATAAGTTAATATACTATCCATTGCAAATTTATATAATTTTTGTTGTAGGGAATGGATATCGGTATTTTCAACTATATCATTTTAAACATTTATTTTGAAAAACAAAAATGTACTCTCATCTGTTAAAATTACAGTTACGATTGTCAATTAGTACTACGGTCTAATGATATTTCTAAAAAACGAATTTGAACCACATTATTCTTAGTTAATTGTATGGCTAAAGCCACCCCCTCTCTATTGTTCAAAAAAAAAAAAAAATTACTGTTACAATTAACCGCGCCGTGTCTTCGAATGTGTAAAAGCATGAAGAAACTGAAAAACCAAAAAACACAGCTTTTAGGAGGAGCCTCGAGGTCGAGGTGCTACTTCCTTGGGCGAGTGTCCTCGGGGCTGGCAACATTGGCGGAGACCCTGGCAACGTCTCCGGCGGTGGCTTCGGGCTTTTTGCGGGCGTAAAGGGTGAAGTAGTCGATGGTACCAACAATGAGGGAGCCGGCGAATGCCAAGGCGGTAGGGCCAAGGGGAACGAGACGTCGCTGGTGAAGAAGACCGCCGGGGTTATGACCGGGAGGCCTCTGTGATCCCTGCAGTCCAGCTCTCTTCACTTCTTCCGGACTCATTTTTGTCGTCTCCGCCGTTTTCCTCCAATCTTCGTCCCCCGCCATCTCTCTCTTTCTTCTCTCTGCCTTGGTTCTGTTTCTGTATGATGTGAATATGATGATGTTTTGTGTAAATTAATTGGTAAGGGGGAATCAAAGTATTTGAAGAAGAGAAGTTGCATTGGTGACACGTTTTGAGTGCATGCTCAGCCACTTGACACGTATCGGGTTCGTGTAACCCTAGCTAGCTAGTAGGACAACTCCAACTTTGTGCGTGTTGAAAGGACTCAAGTAAATTCATCTTTGTGGTTTAATACTACGTTTTAATGGTATTATTTTTTATTTGTTATTGAGAGATCTTAAGTTTAATTCTCGTGAAAAATGAATTTAAATCATATTATTATTCCTATCACATTATGAAGCTTAGTTCACTCTCCACACTATTATCGAAAATAATGTCGTTTATTAAAGAAAAAATCGTTACTTGATTTTTTATTAAAGTATTATTTATCAGTTTATGAGTTTAATGCTATTTTTTCAGTGAAGATCCAAGGTGGATTCAAAATTAGTGTATACCTCTTGTGCCTAAGTTTAAACTAGGACGAGTGAATATCTTACCATCTATTTTTATTATTTTTCTTATGAAGATATGATCCACATTTATTAATAGATCTTATTTCTATTAAAAAATGATAACAAATAATGGTAAGGGTGACGCTACTCCTTTAACAGTTGAATATCTTACCATTTATTTTTATCATTTTTCTTATAAAGATATGATCCATATGTATTAATAGATCTTATTTTTATTAAAAAATGATAACAAATAATGGTAAGGGTGACGCTACTCCTTTAACGGTTTTAGATATGAGAAAATTGTAGAAAAGTGGAGAAAAGTCCCTCAACTATTAAAAAAGGTCTCTCAATTTTAACTCTAATTCCCCAATTTAAAATCTATGACCATTGACCTTAAAATCTATGATCATTGACCATTTAACTTATCAAAATGTACAATTATGATCATTTTAGTCAAAATTCCGTCAAAATAATATATGTTTGAAAGACTATTTGCTACAATTAAATAAAATTAAAGAACCCTTGTTCTAATTGAGTTAAAATTAAAAGACTCATTCCCATTGAATTAAAGATGGAAAGACCACTTGATTTTTCAAATTTGACCCTTGATTTAATCTCACATGAAACATGACTCGTTTTAACAAAAAAAAATTAACGAAATTGACAAAAATAACTCGTTTTGATGAGTTAAGAGACTAATGATTATAAATTTTTAATGGAAAATTTTATTTAAACCCATTTAACCTCTTTTTACACCCAACTTAAATTTTAAATATTAATTGTTTATTTTACCCTATTGCATAATTACTATTATGTACAAAATGAAATTAATAATAAAACTCAAATTTATCAATAAACCCAAACACTATAATTAAACCCTACGATTACTCTTTGTTTATCCTACGTTTATTCTGGCTAAAACCCTAATATCTCTCATAGAGAAAATTAAGTTTTTTTATTGATAAATGGTGATTTTGAAGTTTTGAATCCTCCAACCAAGATATGACTCAATTTATGAATTTTTTGTTCGTTTGATTTCAATTTTTTAGAGAGTAGAAGTTATTTAATGTAATTTTTTTCAACAAATACAACGAAGGCATCCTACCTTCCGCTAAAACAACAACGAAAGCATCCAACGATGATTAATGTCCGGTGTGAAAGGACCCAGTAACCTGAACTGGAAAAACAAAAAGACCAGTCGCATCATCTTTTTTCTTCTTCTTTTTGTTCTTAATTTGCTTTCTCAAATCAGTTGAGCACAGTTTGAGGGTTGGCCACTTAAACCAGGCACTGTAAACCTTTCCACCTTTCTCTCTGGCACTCTGAACCATCCAATTCACAGACTGGCTCTCGTAATCAAACATAGTCAACAATTTTTTGTTCGTTTGGAAAGGGTATGATTCGGCCAACAATTTAACACTAGTACAAAAAAGACTTTGTGCGACGTAGGACCTTCGTCGCGCAAAGTCAAAAATACGTCGCCCAAAAATTAGCGAAACGAACCTTCGTCGCGCAAGAACCGTCGCGCGAAGGCAGTGAAGGAAGGGTTTGCGCGACGCATGACCTCCCTACGTCACGCAAAGTAGCTACGTCGCGCAAAGTTACTTTGCGCGACGCAGGACCTCCCTACGTCGCGCAAAGCTACTTTGCGCGACGTAGATCCGACGTCGCGCAAAGTTACTTTGCGCGACGTAGGGAGGTCCTGCGTCGCGCAAAGTTTTTTTTTTTGTGTGTCATTTATATTTTTTTATTTAATTTTTAATAAATATTATAATTAAATTATTGAATATTATAATTAAATGCTAAACAATAATTAATAAACCAAGAAAAAGTAATTAATTATAGAATATATGAAAATGTACGTTTGTCCGAACAAAAAAATAAAAAACTACAAGTCTTCTAAGTTTAATACATCATGCTACTCGGTATCGTCTGGGCGAAATGGCTGGGAAGTCGAAGGTGGAGCAACATTAGGTGCTGGCATCGTCGGGATTTGGAGGCCGGACATCGCTAAGGCCTGAAGAATCATATTCATCCTCTCGCCCTGGGCCGCAACCTGACCTCTTAGGTGAAGGATTTATTTTGAAAAACATGTTCATTTGAGCAACATCATATGGCATGCAATTAACAATTAAAGGCGGAATCATGCTTGCATGTACTCAAAAACAAAACATTTCCATGAAATTCAAAGCCTAGTAGATTGGTGAACCAATAATCAACTCAAAACAAAGTGAGTTGAAATTATTACCTTTGTAGATTCCTCTTTGCATAAGCAAAGGCTAATCACCCAAAGAGATAGGGCCTTCATTCCTTGCTTCTTAGATCCATGGATTTGGATGGAAAAATAGGTTTCTCCAAGTTCCCAAAATAGGGAACCTCTAAGTCTCTTCACCAAGGTTTGATTGTAGAAGAAATGAGTGACCTTGGAGTAGTAGGATTGCTAGATGTACCCTCCAAGGTGTTGGCCTCTTTAGAGAGAAAATGGAGAGACAATTCTCACCAATTTTCCCCCAAAATAAACCCTTAATCACTTAATGAATATTAGTTATAAAGTCATTTATATAGTCACTTCTTTAAGTGACCTAAATAACCAAAACCCTAATTCATCACACTATGGCCGGCCATTTAGGGGATTTTGGGCTTTCATGAATCTTCATTCATTAAATTGTCATACAACTTAAGTTAATGGGCTTGACGTTTGAAGCCCATTGGGCCTTAAGGTCCAAAACTATCCCGAAGTCTTTAACGAACTTATTCGTTTGATTAATTAACATATTAATTAATCCTTGCCATAAATAAATGATTAAACCATTTAATCATTCTTACTCATTTCCGTTTAATCTTCAATCTCCACCTTTTATGGTGTGCGATCCATTAGGTTCCTTTTAGCGAGGTAGTGGGCGATTAAAACCATTTTACATTGATTGTGAATTGAAACTATTTTCAATTCTCCCTTTAGTGATTACACACGTTTAGGGCTTCCACAAACCATGAGTGACACCTAGCAGCATATCATGGTTACCCAAGCTAATCAGAAGAGGATAGAGAACCTATTCAGTTTGGGATTACAAATGCAATACGGTCCTTCTCTAATCTAATACTCTTGACCACATTGTTTGGTATGATAGTTTATTTACTCATGTCTACTATCCAATGTAAATCGTTTGCTTATATGATTTCCTTGAATGTGATTTGGAACGCATTCCCTAATCTCATTCATACTCTGGCCAGAGATTCCAAATCATATCATAGAGTATTCTCCCTCAACTGTTTGAAGGTTAGAGATCCCTTGTTGCGCATTCACTTGTCTCCATAGCTAAGTGGCTTAACCCCAACGATGCCGTGGACACCCCGAGGGGGTGACTTTGACATAATCAAAGATCAAGGACTTAACCACAAGACAACTGTGATGCCTCAGGTCAAAGAACTACTTTGCATTATCCCAACCATGAGTTCTCATGTGACATGGAATATAAGAACTCTTCGTTGATCACGTTCAGTGAACTCATTCTCTATTGAGCACCTACGTACTTGTCTTGATGTCACACACACCAATGACTCGAGACTAATCACTCTCCCTGAGAGAAGACATAGTACGTACTGATCTTAACGGACTGTCAACGCCCAATTGGACAATCCTATGATCAGGAACGTTTAGGATGTGTCTACGAAAGAATGGTCTCATGAATCTAACTTCATTAGATTACATTCTCCCAATCACATATTCCTTGGACTTTATCGTTTAAGCATATAACATTTATATGAGACGGCTCAAACAATAATGTATGCCCTTTATATGTAAAACTAGATTAGTTTAACATGTGAAATGTCCGTAAAGTATCATCACATGATTGGCTTTAGGGCACATTTCCAACAATCTCCCACTTGCACTAGAGCCAATCAGCTTAGGTCATCTTGATGATACCTCTTCTGTAGTCATTTCATAAATGGCTGAATAGTAGGCCTAGACAGTGGATATCTATATGTGTTATCCATAGAAGCAACCTTGAGAATAACGACGTCACCATTATACATGATTCTCAATCATGTGGTTCAGTCTCTCATTTGAGTTCGGATCTTGATGAGACCTTGATTCCCAGGCTTGAGCTATCGCCCCATTAGTGTCATACACTTTCTGGTTGGAACCGAATAGAGAGTTCATAAATGAACTTTCCCATCCAAACAACATTGTTGTAAACTTCTATATGGCAATATATCTTGCATTCATAATGGAACACACTAAAGTCATTACTTTAATGTTTCCATCCAAATATCTCTTTAGTCATAATAAAGAGATATCTGTTTATCTCTTCATTCATAATGAAGAAACATCCAATGATGGATTAGATTCATAATCTAATACATTTACGCTTCCATTACGTTCACTTTGATTCTTCCTCGATCTTTGAGGAATTTATCCTTTAGTATTTCTCAAATACTTAAGGACTCACTTGACAGTTGCCATGGTTCTGATCCTGGGCTTGCACTGATATCATCTTGTACCGTTCTAGGTACAACTCATATCAATGTTTTTCATACAATATGAAATACATAAATCACCTTTCTGCGTATGCATAAAGGATTCAATTTACGCATTATTTCTTTGGGAGTCAAAGGGTACGTTCCCTTTGAGAAGGGCAACTTGCTAGTCTCACTAGAATCGTCCTTCTTATTGAAGTTTATCATCATATGAGAAACTTCCTAGCATCCATTGTCTATTATTAGGGATTGATATAATCCAATTATATCATGAAATATATCATTATAGATTTCCATCCCATGTATATAGACTATATCTCCCATATACATTCTATCTTCATATAATGTATTAAAGTCATAACTTTAACGAAGAAGTATTCTTTTCATTTCCAAAATTAATATATCATATATATTTTAAATTTTAGGAACATGATTAACTCCCACTAATCTTTTGTAAAACTAGTAAACAAAAGATTCATTTACATCTTTATGAGAAATCAAACGATTTGATCCTTTTTTCTCATAAAATGCAAATAGCTCCCACTAACTTGCTAAGATCCATGATGGATGGATCTCTACAACTTACATGTCTTGTGATTTATAGTTTTGGACATATATTATCAAGACTATCTTAATAATGGTTTCGGAAACCCATATTATGTCAAAACATTGAATCACCATTTTAGTTGTAGCTAGCAATCTTCGAATTAATTGAAACTAAGACTACGTCAAAAATGGTTCCTTTAAAGTCAACCATTCTCTTTGATTGTAGTCACCTTAAGCTACCAATTAGCTTTGAAGGTTTCATTATTTCGAGTCAAATGGTACTTTACCATTTTCTTGAGTATATATCGTATATGCACTCATTGTAGTCATAAAGTTCAAAACCATTCAACTGAGACGGTTTATAAATCCTTATCGACTACCTTGGAGCTTGTGGTATAGGAACTAGGTTGTTATATTTGTTGATTACTATCTTGTCTCTCAAAGAACCCATTCTTTGAGTTCTATCTCTCGTTCATTTGCTTTTAGGCAAATCACATTGTAGAATTACAATGAACTACCCAACAAAACAACATTTGTTAGTTGGTTTATAGAAGCGATATCCAAAAGTTAATTTAAGGATATCCCACAAGATTGTTATTCAAACAAATATTGCTTGTTAGCACACAACCCCAAATCTTTAACATGCTTAAGATTTGTCTTTCTTTCCAACTACATCTTATGGAGTCATGAAAATATTGGAAGATCTTCTCATTGACAATCATATTGTTTTAGAAGTATATATCCTATATATGGGTAATAGATAACATCTAACGAACTAAATCTTATTCGAGTTCGTTCTTCTCCTAATGGAGAAATACATTATCTTATGATGCTTATTTCCTTGATATCTTTCAAGGAAACTCATCTAAAGTGTTACCTTTCCTTGGATCAAATCTAAGGAGGTAAATACTTTAGATGTCTTACTCATCAACTTACATTACTTGAATTCTTTGAAACATTTTGCAAAGTATTCGGACTTGTGTTTATTCAAAATAAACTATAGTCCAACCGAGAGTGATCTTCGGTGAATGTTATTCAACATGAGTAGTATTATGTTTGTGGACAAGTGCCACTAACATCTAAGTGAATTAACCTCAACAACTTTGTGATTCTTTCTTCTTTCCAAAAGAATAAAGATTCGAACATT